GTGCTATTTCGCTGGCGTAGCCGTATTCAGACGCGACAGATCCTTTTTCGGGAGTACAATAGCTTCGTTGATCGCGGGGGCAAGTCAACTTCGCGGTTGAAAGAACCGCGATTAAATCGCCGCCATCCACCGTCACCCGTGTGCTGTTTTGCCAGTGGCTCGTTAAATCGACACGACTGTCCCATTCTTCTTAGCGGACCCGCCACTTTTCAGATATTTCTCCGAAAGAAATCCCGCAATTGAGCGAAGCAATTAAAAAGAAAGAAAAACGCAAGGACACCTCGCTCGCGTTGCTTCGTTCCCGGGGATTGGTTCCCTGGAAAATTTTTGTCGAGTGAGCGTGACATTTATATTCACGGTAGCGTTTCGTTTCGAAGAAACAGAAAGTTCCGTGTCGATTCTATCGATCGATCGACGCGAGTGAAACGCACGGTCGCACGGTCGCGGCGTATAAAACCTCTCCTCGAAATGAAACACATCCAGGTTCAGGTATCGATCATTGTCTCCTCTAACGGACATGGAACTAGGTTCTGTGACCGCGACCACGTCGCAACGGATCTCCTCGCCTTTAAGTAGCCGCGGATAATTCATCGCAAAAGTCAGGCTGGATTATCGCGGCAATGTTAACCAGTCCTCCTCCGTTTCGTAATCTCACCGTTCCATAAGTGAACGACCATAGAGCGTTTGCGTACTTGCAGGATGACAAGATCTACGAGAACGTTCAAGCCGCCGGGAGTAATTCGACTTTTCTTGCCTGCGTGATTCGCAAATAAATTACGAGGACGTCGTACTTGAATGTTGATCGTTGGATACGAGGAGCAGGACAGTCGGTTGAGAACAGCGAGATGGAACGCGAAGAACGAGGAAACAAGACACGTGAGAAAGAGAAATGAATATTAAAAAAAAAGAGAAGATCGATGTCTCACGCGCACGAGTGTTTCCAATTTATTTGTTGATACCAAAAACGTGAGTTATTGTGCAAATAATTGCCGTGGCTGTCTACGCTTGTCACGGTTGCTCACGGAGGTAAGACGTGCCACTCGGGACGATTGCGACTTTGCAAACGAGAGAGAGAGAGAGAACGACAGTGGGCCTTTCCACCGAAATTCGATGGAAACGTCGAACAGAGCGAGTAGCGTGTACATTTCCTGTCGCGAGACGTCATGCCGCGTTTATTAACAAATCAATTTGTTTCTCTCGCTTCGTTACATTACTTTATACATTTATATATTTTTATTTCTCTTTCCTTCTTCTGGATTTGTTTGTCGATCATTTTCGAGCCTCGAATGAAGAAGCCACGAAAGCGTTTACTTGCCAAAAAACGTGGAAATCACATGATATTCCATGGACGATTCCTCTTTCGAATGCACGAAACGTTCGTGGAATAAATTTAGGTGATACTTGAGCGGAAAGCTGATCCGCCGGCCACGACCAGTTGCGAAACTTCTTTGAGTAACGTCGCGAAGTTTTACACCGTAGCGACCTGTACCGGTTCGCCGGTTTTCGAGCTTCAGATGCAAACGCAACGTCGAATCGAGACGCGACTTCGCGTAGAGGAGATATTGTCGCCGCGAGGACAGAGGCTTGGAGATTACTGGAAAAAATATATAATTGCGTGTAAGTAGCTTACGCAAACGTTCTTACGGACAATCGAGCGCGCACTCGTTTCTCCTGGCAAACATTTCTCGAGAACGGCGAAACGTTCGTTAATGCGAAACGGTGGCATTATACGCGGCAAGATTGCGAGCCGCATCAGCTACACGCATCTTCTTAGGGCGGCTGGTTGTATTGTCGATGGATAGCCTCATAGTTTCCAAGCATTTTTATCAGCCTGCTGTCCATACAGGGAAATAATCACAGGCGGTAAAGTTGCAAATATCTCGAACGATTGCGACAGATCAAGATAGACCTATATGCGATAATATACGCGGTTTCTATCTGGCCTGTCGAAACCTGCCTAATCGTACGTTTCAAACGCATAAATCGTATTAGTTTCGCAGTGTGTATAAAGTATGGCGGTTGGTCTGTGGCAAGATAAGTAATAAAACCGATATCGATATTGTTGGATCCATTGGGAAAGTAGACGTGGAATATTAGGAGAACAGCGCAGGAACGTCGAAAAAACAGCGCTCGCTTTGATTACAAATCTCACGGCGAAGATGTCCGAAGATAGCGAAAGAATATTCGAGCACCCCAATGGGGCCCCATTAGGATCCAAAGGTAGTTGGGCCAGTCCTCCTATATCTGACTGTCCTTCTTTCTCTCTTATTCTCTCGATGAATCCATGGTAGAGGAGGCGGAGGATGGTTGGCCGGTCAAGCCACATTCCGTTGGCCAACCGGCTCCTTGGAACCCTTCCTCCCCCTCTTTGGTAGACGGTTCTCTATATACAAGATCTCTCGCCTTCTTATGCACCACTACGATATGTGCCCACAAGACCACCAATATTATTTCGACTAGACAGCGGTCGACTCGACGCAACCTTGTCAGAGAGCAATGCATAGGTATCTGCTTTCACGGAGTGAAACGTTACTGGGAAGAAAACCTCAAAGGTCGAGTTTAACACGCATACTGCATGCCTGCCCGCCGCGCTGCTCTTCAACTTGTAATTTTCGAGAAAAAAAAAAAAAAAAAAATACGAGCAACGCGTTCGTTTCGCCTTCCTCCTCATCCTTTAAGCCTCTACGTCAATTTCATTCAATTCGATCCGCTCGTGGTCACCCGTTCGTTCTTCTTGGCTCTGTCTATTCGTCCCATTCTTCTGTATCGTTTACTATCTCTCTCAGTCTAATTATTCTCGAGTAACGTTCGCATGTTCACATTTTTGCTACATACTCAGGATTAAATATCAATTCCACGAATAACGAATCGATAGAAAAATGGAAAAGCCTAAAACGTCAAATTTTCGTTGGTTCATAAATTTCTTTTTTTTTTTTTTT